TTTTTAGCGTGAACGGATCGTAACTGTCCCGAGGAAAATCGGGATTTTTGGACTCATAATTTTCTCACAAAACGAGAAACTCTTCATCCGATACATGTTGTCTGCATAGCAAATATTTATTCTCTTAGTTCTGTATGTGAGGCCATATTTTCCTCTTCGGTATTCTTCTAATTAAAGGCGCCGTCCTTCTGAGTTCACTGCGATCTTAATGTTCTATTTTGACGGGGAGCGACGGCTGCCTTAGTTCCAGGCTTTCTCTGCCAGTCCGGTCGCCGTCGCCCCGAAAACGTCTCCATCTTAAGTTCCTTATTAGTGAGCAGTCGCCGTAAAGTGGTTATCGGTTTGTGTGCAACACGTATATTGTAAGGTTGTAATATACTTGCAATAGTTTCAGAGGTGCCTCTGATGTACGGTATAGTCGCTGTCGTAACAGGGCCGGAGTTGGTCTGAGTGTTGGAATCAGTGTTACTGTGAGTGTTCCGTCTAACAAAGTCCGTGTTGTAATTGTTCTTACTAAAAACGTTGTTAAGATAATCAGTCTCGTCTCGTAGGCTGTCTTTTGAGTCGCAAACTAGTTGCGCTGGTCTCTTCAGAGTCCGGATAGTAGTAGCCTTGTGAGAGGTCGGGTTGTTCGAAGACTGGTCTAGTAATCGGTCGGTATGTGTCGGTTTTCTGTAAATAGTCGTTTTTAGTTTGCTGTTGTCGCGAGTGACCAAGCAGTCAAGAAAAGGTATCTTACCATTTTCTTCGATCTCCTTGGTGAACTGTATGTCCGCGTTCTGTCTGTTAAGGTGTTCGTGAAAATCGTCGATTCCGTCTTTGTGTACGGTGGTGAATGCGTCGTCAACGTAACGGTAACCAAAGAGGTACAGTTCGCGTGTAGGTAGCTAGGGCTTGTTCCTCGACGTTTGCATGACAATTTCTGCTACAACAACAGAAACTGGAGAGCCCATGGCTGTACAGTGTAACTGTTTGTAGTGTTTGCCGTTGTACTGAAAGTACGTCGAAGTCAAACAGAGGTTGAGTAGGTCCATAATGTCGTCTGTAGGTAGTGTTAGTTCAACAGTAGAGTTTTTAAGAGCGTTCTCAGTACAGTCTAGAGCCAGTTGAAGTGGAATACTGGTGAACAGCGATTTCACATCAAAGGACACTAGTTTGTGGTCGTCCGGTATCTGTATTGTCTTAATGGCGCCCATAAAGTTCTCAGTAGACTGTGTCTAGATTCGTCAGTCAGCGGTTTCAGTACGTTAGTTAAGTATTTAGACAGTTGGTAGGTTGGGGACCCACAGAAAGAAACTATGGGCCGCATAGGTATGTTGGGTTTGTGTAGTTTTGGTAGTCCATACAGCTTGAGTGGCTGCGGAACACTACACCTAAGTCTGTTGTAGCGTCGAAAAGTCGATCTTGTCGGTTTTCTTCAGCGTAAGCAGTTTGTTGTTAGCAGCCACCCAAGCTGTATGGAAAAATATTAAATGATATGAAAGGTTTCAAATTTGTTGAAACAATGGAAGTTACCTTTATCAAGAGAAAGGGTGATAAAAACATACACAAACCCGCTTATTTCAACAGCAGAACACAAGTAACCCCAATGAGTTTCATGAGGATTTACAAACATCTAAGCAACAAATACTAAATGGAGTGGCTGTTTGGCTCTCTGAAGATAGTGATTGGACTATTTTTAGCGTTGATGGGCATTATATTAACACAGTCATATACAACCCTTTAAAAGAATCATGTTACATTAAACTGCCAAAAGAATTACAAAACTCAGCTTAAAAATAAGGATGATGAGTGCTTCAGATGGTGTCATATCCGACATTTAAATCCACAAAGGATTAAAAAGATTGATAAAAAAAAATGGTTGAGCAGTTAAACTATGAAAGAATTGAATTTCCAGTTTCTGTTTTAAAAACAATACAACAAGATTTAAAAACAAAATAATATCAATATCAATGTATTTGGGTATGAAAACAATCAATTCGATCCAATTCACATATCAAAAGAGTCAAACCAAGATATGCTCAACCTCCTTTTAATAACAGACGATAAAAACAGGCATTATGTTCTTATTAAAGACTTCAATAATCACGAAATAAGCACGAAATTGCGCTAAAGTGGTCGAGGATTTGGTTACAGTTGGTAATTGATTCCATATGTGGGCAATCATGTATAAAAAAGAGTTGTGCATGACAAGGCTGTTATACGGAGGCTGCACAACATTTAATCCACTGTCTCGTAGATTGTATTTAGTTAGCCGAGGGGTAAAAAATTTGGAAATATAATTAGGGCTATCTATTTTAAAACATTTAAAAAATAAGATAAGCGATTGCAGGGTACGTCTTTGCTCAAGCTTGTCCATATCAGCCATTCCTAGGCAAAAGTCATAGGTAGCCGAATTACCTAAATTCAGTAATGTCTTGATCGCATAATGATTGGTACGTTCGATGTTATTTTTCAAGACTTTAGATATGCCCAGAAGTAGTGGGCAACAGTATTCTAAATGCGGTAACACGTAGGCTTTATAAAGGGAAATCATAACGTCCGAAGGAACTAAGCGCTTAATCCTCCGTAGTGCGGCTATCTTAGCATACGCTTTCTTCAGCATGATTGCCACGTGGGGCTTGAAAGACAAATCCCGATCCAATGTAACGCCAAGAATCTTGAGAGTTGGTTCAATTTCGACGGACTTATCACCGATAAAAAGATTATATGGGTACTGAGATTTCCCCAGTGTCATGGCCTGAGTTTTAGTAGCGTTTACTTGCAGGTAATTCGCAGTGAACCAGAGGGTTAATCTCTCTGTATCTTGATTCAGTGTAGATTCTAGTGTGCAGAGGCTCTCATGGGCTATATATTGCGTTGTGTCATCAGCATACGGACGTAGGGAGGAATATTCAGCTGAGTAATTGACATCATTCACAAAGATATTTTAAAAAAGCGGACCTAGAAGGCTCCCTTGCGGTACTCCACAGGGAAGAGGCATCCAGTCTGACACCTTCCCGTTACATTTTACTCGTGGAAAGCGGCCTGATAGATATGACTGAATCAGTTTTATAGCTGAATCGTGAACGCCGTAAGCATAAGCTCGTCTGGAAAAACTAGGTGACAACCTTCTTGAGAATAAAAATATGTGATCAAAAAGAACCTCCAACATCAGGATTACAAAGATACCCTTTTCAATAACAAACAAATCATAAAATGAAAACTATCCGAGTTGTTAACCATCAACTGGGAAGTTATGAGTTAAATAAAATATCATTATCCTGTTTTGATGATAAAAAATATATCCATGATAATGGCCAAACAAGTTATGCATATGGCCATTATAAAATCAATCAGCGGCCCATCAAAAGGCCCAAGATAAGCTCCAAAAACTGGATTTGCTGATTTGGGTTAAAGCCTATGAAATCCTATCACTTGGGGGTCTGGTACCCCAGAACGGACAACGAAGTTAAAAGAGACTATTAAGCTTATTAGCGAGGGGAAACAAAAGCAAACCACCTAACCAGTGTTGTGACGACCGAGATGGATCCCCATTACCGAACTAGCTACAACCCTTAGTCAAATCCCGCCCAACAGAATATTTGACAGCTGTATCGCCATTTTTCACAGGATGCAGGTAAATTGCAGCACCGGCGGAATTGTAAAGTAGACACAGGTGAATACGAACTTTATTCATTGGCAAACTGACGATTATTTGGACATTGTTGTTTACAGTTTCAAACAACATTTAGTATAATGCAAGTGATTTTATTTGAGTTAAACTGTGTTATCAATGTTTTTTTTTTTATTACACGTCGTCCTGATGAGTGAGATGGGATAAATTTTCTCTTGGCATACATACATTGCATAACTAGGTGCTTTGGACGGTTTTAACATGTTAACGTGGCAACTAAGAGATTAACAAAAACTCTCGCTGCTATTACGCGATCTGGTTTCCTTCAAAATTAAAGCTTCATTTACTCGGATAACTGCAGAACTTCAAGGATTCGCGCGCAGGTACTTTTCGCGAAGGAAAACAGTCAATGACTGAAACTACAGTCTTCTATAGAATCTAATGTATGATTACCACTTGTGAAGCTGAAGAATGTACTAATGGCTCTAGCCTTTTGCAGTGCTCTTAAATGTGGAGTTTTGGGTTTGAAAGCGAACGTAATGGCATTTCCAATCGCCTTTTCTCACAAGCTCTGTTTCACCGGTTTTTAAGCAGTTAAAAAGCAAAGATTCCTTATAGTCCATGAGTCAAGGTCCCCAAAAGTGATTTTCGTAGCACCCCCTTTGGGACGAAGTAATTTTGGAAAACATCGTGGTAGGGCATTTTTAGCGCTCTGTTGGGCGTTGCCCTACCCACCACCCACTCCTAAAAAAAAGAGCATGGGTGCTTTGTAAAGGTGAATAGTTACCAATTTGGTTAAAATGAAAACCACGCTATAGTCACGTAGTTTTTTACCACTATATATTGGTTTTTTTTTTTTTTTTTTTTTTTGATAATTTGATTAAAATTAGCAACGAAAACAATGAGAAAATGGTGTTTCACAAATGAGTTAAGGATGTCCATAGTAATCTTTGCCATGGCAATCTGCAGTGTAAATACAAAAATGAAATGTAATAAATATGAACTTGTCTAGAAGCAATACAAGTTTTTACCCATATTTGATTGGCATTTACTAAGTTAATTGTTTTTTAATAATGCAGATGTACATAAGACAAAAAAATGCTCCCCACCCTCCCCCCGTTAAAAACGCCGCCATATCTCCTTAACGTGCAAGTTGCCAGCCGGGGAACAAGTGAATTCATAAAATATAGTCAATAAGCTTTAATTTGGTACCAAAATAGCTTGGTCTCAGAGGGGGCTGCTACGAAAATCACTTTTTGGCATCATTTTAGGATTTGGCTCATGGACTATTAGGGTGGGGTATTGCCTCTGGTGTTGCCGGCGTTGGCCTGATATTCAACTAGAATTTAAAAATGTCCCACTGACCACCCTTCCTGATACCAAACTATTCATACTTACCCTGACGATGAATCCATCTGTTGACAACAGCTGAAACGTTCTCTCGAAAGTTCTGTTCCTCCTTTTCCTTTTCTTTGACAAACCATTCATGACTTCTTTGGATTAGCTGTGTAAGATTTTCTTGGATCCTCTCCACAGTAACCATCATCGATTGTAAAAAACTTTTGAATTCATCAGTTTGCCTCAGCCATGTTTGACCCTTCGATGGATTTGGAAATCTTTTTTTCAGGTCCAGTCTCATTATGTCGATGTCATGCTTTAATTGCCATAACCTGATAATAACCGGCTGATCTTGACTTCCTTCTTGTTGGATCTTCAGCTTTAACTTGCCTAAAGCGTTTATCAGCAGTCGTAAACTGAAAAGAATTTGAGTCATTCTAGTTTGCCTCTGTGTTTCACCCTCCAATAAATTTGCAAATGCCAAAATTTCATCTTTCATTGCATCAATTTCCGCTTCTAAATGCTTCAACGGCTTGATGTCCTGTATTACTTCTGTTACATCACTCTTATTATCAAGATCAGTAAAGAAGTTTTTTATCTCTGATGCATTAGAGGCATTTTCGTCGTTGGTAATGATGAGAACAGCTCCACAACTGTGGTAAGTTATTGGATTTAGTCTCTTAATCTCATCTAATGTGTATTCTAGCTGAAGTGATCTGTATGGTTTCATCGGTTTAATTTCTAGCAATTCTAGGAGGTCATAAAGCTGTAATGCCTCAAATACGTCTTTCAGCATCTTCACTGGGGTGTCTGGGAACGATCTAAAAATATCACTAGCAGCTCTCTCATTTTCAGGGGTTAGGTCGATCCCAAACGATTCTAGTACACGTTTCAGAGCATCTCGGTCCCATGAAAATCTTTCTTGAAGCTTAAGAATTACGCCTTCACTCAAGTGTAACAGTGAGTAAGGAAAATCTATAATTAAAAAAGAAAAAAAGTTAAAAGATTTTAACATAACAACTAGATTTATAACAACAACAGAAAGAATCGAAATAGCGATAGTGATAATATAATTTACGGGGAAGACATGAATATAAACAACAAGGGTTTCTAAATCATTTGTCTCACGATTGTCACTTTGATATGGATCGCAACGATTCGGAGGAAGTAACGCCAAGTAAACGCCGAGAAGACGTTCACAAGAAGTAAGACTGACTTGCTTTAACTTTGATTCTGATTTTAATAATAAGGGTACAGTGATTTTTTGAGGCAACTCTTGTCAGCTGAGGGACAAGATGGCTACAAATGATAGTAACCCAGAATATGTTTTCGCAGTAGTTAAAAGCTGAAACAATGTTGTAATGATGGCCTGTTAATACACAAATAAGTGCAGATAAACTCAACAGGTTTCTTTAATCTACACCAACGAGCACTCCATATTACAGAACCATAATTCTTTGCGCGCCTCTATATAACAGTAACGAAATGTCTAAACACTACATTCTCTTCCTTTGTGAAAAGAAACAAACTAATGACAAGGAAAACCTTAGACAAAACTAATGTCTATTTAACTCTGAATAAACCGCAGTCTAAATGCAGTATTGTCTTTTTCAAACTGTTCACTTATCGAGAACATATTATTAAGAGTGCACTGTCTTTCAAAATTGTATACCTAACGAACCACGAAGTCCTTAAACTTAGCTGGCATCCATACAGTTCGGGACGGTCTACTCTTTGGCTCACTCGTGGTTGCGGTGTCAGCAACTGAGCGTGGGATCACTCGATCCTCTGAGGTTTCAGTTCCTGTAGAGTTGTCCGGCAGCTGTGGAGTTCTGAATGGCTTAAAAATTGAACTGTTTCTCCGCTGCACTGTACCGTCGGTCGTTTTCGAGGTTAGTTCTTGCCCTCCCTTTGTCTGAACAGTGTAAGGATAGGGCTCAAAACTAGCAACTAAATTTCCAGATAGCTTGGTGTTCTTGAGAAGAACCCTGTCTTCAGGTGTAATTGGGTTGTCGACAGCATGCCGTTGTTTGTTAGCATAGATTTTGCCTGCTAGCTTTTGATTCCAGTAACGATCTCTCGTGCTTTCATCCAGAACACTTTTGTTTGGACTCAGTTCTGGAAGCTTTTTCTTCAATTCTCTTCCAAACATAAGAAATGCTGGGGTTGCCCCCGTGCTACTGGGAAGGGTGGTTCTATAGGCCAGCAAGAATTTATCCAATTCATCTTTCCATTTCTTCCCTCCAGCTTCAGCTAACTTGAGTGATTTTAGCAAAGTTCTGTTCTGTATTTGTATTTGTATTTATTTATTTTCCACACGATTACAATTACAAAAAGATACAAAAAAATGTAGAAAGGAATGGCGAGGAGGCCTAAAGAAAACTATAAAGCTTATGGTAATTAGGCCTCCTCAATTACAATTTTTCAAAGATGGCATAAAAATTGCGGTGATGGACAGAAAATATTATCAGATGGAAAATTAAAATAACAATATCAAGAAAGTTTACAAAAGTCGAATATTAAACAGCTTTTTTCCAAGATTTTGGTTGGAGTATACTAATAATTACAAATAAATGCCTTAAGTGCTCTTTTAAAGAAAAAAGGAGAGGAAGCCTTGATGATGTTAGTGTTTAAGGTGTTATAAAATTTAGGTGCTTGATAAAATACCGAAAATTGTTCGATTCGAGTACGACAGAATGGCAGACGAAATTTACAAGAGTTTCTTGTATTATACGAATGAATTTGAGTTTGTAAAGTAAATTTACATTAATATTTTAAAGGTAGAGTATGGTTTTGATAGGAGTACATGAATAAACCTAGTTGTATTAAGTATATCATGAAATTTTAAGATACCGTACTCTACTTCGCCATTAGCCTGAGGCCAAAGGGGTGGAGGTTTCCGGTGCTGGATGCCATGTGTAGCCAGGAAGTTTTCAAATTCCTATAACACAAACTGCGGTGCACTGTCAGACTTAAGGCTGCATGGGTATCCATACCGTGTAAAAATCGGCATTAACGCTTCTATCATCTTCCGGAAAGTGGTTGAATGTATGATAACCACTTCAAAGAAACGGTTGTAGTAGTCAACTACTACAAGAAAGTTCTCTCCAGAAGAAAAATTACCTAGGAGATCGATTGCTACATCGTGCCATGGCCCAGAGGATGGTTCTACCCGCTGTATAAGCTCAGGTGCACATAATCTCTCTGACCACCTGAGTTCCATGGCAACTTTTACAAACTTGAACAGCGTCACGGTCCATTTTGGGCCACCAAACTTTGCTTCGTAACCGATTTTTCATCTTTACAATGCCCTGATAGCCTTCATGTGCTAAACGCAATACTTCACTTCTGCGGCTTTGAGGAATTACAATCCTCATTCCACGCGTCACTACTTGTACAATAACCCTAACAAAGTCGGCGTCCTCACAACTGTGATCTTTTTTATCCACAGAATTTAGTCTTGAAAGAGCATCTGCGATGTTTGTGTTACCAGGGCGGTAGACCACTTTTAAGTTGTAATCCTGTAGGCGATGGACCCATCCCTCTTTCTGCGCAGACGGCTTAGAAGACTTGATGTAAATGTACTTTAAAGGTTTATGGTCAGTCTCCCGCTTGAACTCTCAACCAAAAACAAACAACTTGAATCTCTCACAAGCCCGTAGTTCGGGAATATCTCGTTTCCACATCAGTGAGATTTCTTGATGCATAGGATATTACACTCCACAGGCCATCTTGTAGCTGAGTGAGGACAGCTCCTATGCCTGTGGGACCAGCATCAGCAACAATACGTGTCCTGCATTCATTATTGAACTAAGCAAGTGTTTCTGTTCGGGTTAGCAAATCTTTCAGTTTCTGGAAGGATTTCTGCTGGGCATCTTCCCACATAAACTGTTGGTCTTTTCTCGTCAGCATTCTAAGTGGTTCGGCAACTTGGGCGAAATTTGGTAAGAACTTGGCACAATACTGTACAAGGCCCAAGAAAGATCCGACCTCTGCGGTACTCTGTGGAGGCTTGGCAGTTTGAACTGTAGACACCTCTTCACTCGGAGCGATTCCTTTACTGCTCAAGTCATGTCCAAAGAATATTAATTTTGGAAGTCTGAACTGACACTTCTTTTCATTTAGAGTCAATCCACGTTCTCTGAGACGGCGTAGAACAACTAGCAGATTCTCATCGTGTTCCTTGATTCCACATCCATGGATGATCAGGTCGTCAGTAATATTTGCAACTCCTTTACAGCCAATAAACACATCTTTGACAATTTTCTGATATTTATCAGTATCTGAGGTAGTTTCGAACATTAATCTTTTGTATTGATAAAGACCACGGTGTGTAATAAAGGTTGTAATAAGACGTGACTCAGTTTTAAGTTCCACCTGGTGGAAGCCGCACTTCAAATCTAATTTACTGAACACTGTTGACCCATTTAAGTTATAGAACTTTTTCAATGTGGGAATAGGTGCCTTTCTCTTTCGATTGCCTCGCTGACTCTTCTCATATCCACACAGGCACGTATGTCTCCGTCAGGGTTTGGTACTACCACCAGCGGTGAGACCCACTCTGTTGGACCACTAGGCACTTCCTTGATGATGTCTTCTTTAAGGAATTCATCTAGTTTCTTGTCAACTTTGTCTCTTAAACCAAAGTGTAATCTTCTGACAGGCTGTGCAATAGAAACATCTTTGTTCAAATGCTATCTAAGCTGGAAATCCTTCAATTTATCCACTGCAGAAAATACATCAGCAAAATTCTTAGCAATGTCCACAGAAGTTCCTTCGCTTGTGATTGCGTACGCTTTTGGGGAGTTTGGGGGGTCCAACTCTCAACACATTCAGCGCCTCAGCTGTATCCTTTCCCAGCAGAGCTTTGCCACGACCTTCAACAACAGTAAACTCATCCACGCACTTTTCTCCAGACTCTTCACAATTTATTTCACTTTCAAAAGTTCCACTAACCTCAATTGGTTTGGTTTGGCCATAAGCAAACAGCTTGAGTGTCGCTCAAAGGGAACGTTTACTATTGGCGTAAAATAATTATCCAGGGCTGCTAAGCAGTCGTTAAATGTAGTCTCAATGCTACCTTCTTGATCATTCCCTTTGAGACCACACACATGTTAAAAGCACGTTTCCGCCGTTTCCATCGAACAGACAACGGGTCAAAGCAGGGGAGGCCACGGACCTCCAGGATCTGGTTTAAACTCGCCCCGCCAGAGTTGGTGGACGATTGTGCGCTTGAGTTACTCCTTGTTTTTCGAGTGTTCCAGTCGCGCACATGATTTTCTTATCGATAAAAATTATTTCACGTATTTAATCTTTGAACCCTTGGAAAACCATCCTCGTCGCCAAATGTAATGTTGGCCTGTTAATACACAGATAAGTGCATATAAACTCAACCGGTTCTTTAATCCACACCAACGAGAACGCCATGTTAAATAACCATGATTCTTTGCGCACCGATAACTATTATAACAGTAACGAAATGTCTAAACACTACAAATGTGTTACATGGTAAACATTTTCTCGGCAATTTTGAAATAAAATCTAAAGGTTGAAATAAAGATTGGGGGCCGAAAATACCATAAACCTTGATTTCGATTGATGTTGACATCCTACCTGCTGAAGCTGAAAATATACCCCTCCTTCTGTACAATTCTTCACATTACACGAAATACGAATATAATTCAATAGTTGTTTAATATTTACCAGCTCTGTCTTCCAAATGTCCTGCTTCAGATGCTGTTCCTTCTGTCACGAATCCGCTCTCACCTGAGAATGTCCCAACACTGTATGTGTCGTGTACCCGCTCAAGATATCTCTGAATGAAAAAATATTTCTCTTCTCCTAGAGATTGTTCCTGTTTAACTTCGCTTTCTCTGATTTCTTCACTTCTTCCTTTACAATAAAAATCTGAATCAGACTGTCCATTTTGAGGCCCCTGAAGGTCTTCATCCTCTCCAGCTGTGAAAAAAAGTTATATCTTTATTTAGCAATAAAATAAATCTACAGTTAGACGGAAGATACATGATGATGTAGTTGACGAGGGGGTAGGCACGTGGTCCCCATGATTGGTTTATTCCATATATAAGTCAGAGCATCTACTGACCTTGTGATTGAGTTGCTATTTATTTTCATGTTGTGTGTTGTAACGTAGTTTGGAAGATAAACAGAATAACGTTTTTCCTACTAATGTACGAGTCATGCATCTTTTGAGGAACATTTGAAGTTGATTTGACTTTATGGTGGGTGGGGTCGTTAACCTGTTAATCTGTTATCTATTTATATATGATGGTTTTGGCAATTTCTGTTGAATATACAATTTTAAGAGAAGTACTGCTTTATTTTAACTTTGCCATACCGACAATGTCTACATGTTAGAGGCTTAAATATGTGACAAAACGATAGAATACTCTAGTTACTCTTGTTACTCTAGTTGAAGAAACTTCCCTTTTGCTGTCCACTCAAGACTGACTAAGACCGTTTATTAGTTTGTTTACAGACTTGATTTAATATATACACCAAACAGGACTAAGGCTTAGGAGTTGCACAGAAATTCGAACTATGGCAGTATACCTGCTACGGTTATGCCTCTTAACAACGTACATAGACTTCATCGTAGGCGTAAGAATGTGACATGTTTTTATCAAGAATGTAATCTATCCAGCTATATGGACAATATTATACGAATTTTGCTCATCACTTAGAATAACACCAGGAAAAGGTAGTCTGAGATAGGGTTTGCAGAACTTGAGCGAATCTTTTATCTACGTCATTAGTTTATAAGTTTTTTTTTTTTTTTTTTTTTAAGTTTTACAAACTTTTTTGGCCACAGGCCTGCCCAGAGGGAATAGGCACGAACGGGACTCATAGGTCCCATGCAAGGTGCCATCCCTACCCAATCTCATAACCCGTAAAGGTTGGCCACACCACCGGGGTCTACGTCCCCTACTCTTTTCGAACAGTGTTGTGGGTTCTTTTACGTCCCACAAGAACAAATCAGTGAAAGTGCTGTGAGACGGGACCTACGGTTCGTCGTCCTTATCCGAGAAGACTAGAAAGTCTAACCATTTGCAGATGTCATTACAAAGGCAGCACTCTCTTCTTAGTTATTTAAAGACCTTAAGTGTTGGTCCGGCCGGGGTTTGAACCCGCGACCTCCCACTCAGCAGACCGGCGCTCTCCCAACTGAGCTAACCAGGCGGCGGTTGACACTTGTTTATACTCTTACACTTGTTTATACTCTTACCATCTTCCCCACACATCGCGAGCTCCGGTTTTAGTTTGTCAATCTCAACTTCAAGAATTTGCATCTTGAAATTCCATTTATTTTCTGCCTGGTTCAGTAGCATCAAAGTCACTTCATCCTCCTTTCGGTTGAGAGAAAGAAATGAATCCGAGTTCCGTCGACGTCTGCCACCTTCCTGGTTTATGTTATCAGCAGCTGTCGAAAAGGATAAGAAAGAACGAAACCGATTATATACCTGACATGAAATATTTGACTACGGAAAACGTTTTCAGTGTTTGAACTTAGGCTTTCCTTTTGTCCTCAAAGACTTTTCCTTCCAATCTTCTACGCAGCAGCTGTTATATTTTGTGCAAGAGCTATTTGTGACGACCCAATATAATGGCTGTATAGGAGACTGCCACTCAGGGTTCTTTTACGAGATGCAACATCCTTAACAAATTTACACTAAAGCAGAAAAAATATTTCCATTTCAATGGATCGATGAAAAAAATGACTAGTGCCTTATATTGTTATAGTCTCTGTAACTTCTATTATTCACCATTTATTCACATATTAATTCTAAAACTAAAAAAAAACAGACAGATAAAACCACATATCTAATTAATTCACATCGAATGAAAAAATTGATATTACAAACAACTACATGCCTGTAGAGGACTCAAACTACCGTGGTATCAATGTTACTCCCGTTATTGCGCGGTTGTTTGAGAAGGTCGTGTATCATACGCAAGCAAAGTCAGTCATTGAGAACAATCTGAGCCACACCCAATTTGCTTATAGACAGGCGGGTAATTGCACAAATGCTTTGCTCGCTATCCACTACTGTCTAAATGCTTGTATGTCTGGTGCTGACTGTAGCGCAGTGCGAATTTTTACTATGGACTTCAGTAAGGCCTTCGATTTTGTGAACCATACTATTTTTGTCTGCCAAACTGAAACAGCTACCCCTACATCCGTACATTATCAATTGGTATCACAGTTTCATCTATGCAAGACAACACGCAAGGTAGCGTAAGCGGACCGTATCTTTTTAATATATTTTTGAATGACTTGGAGATTTTCTTTAACGGTTGCCCTGTTCTTTTTAAATATGCCGATGATTCCACTATTCTTTCGCCTATCACTAGGGACCGCGACCCGTCTGCCGACTTAGTAGGACAGATCTTAACCTGGTGTAAAGACAATAAAATGGTCTGCAACCCTTGTAAATGTAAAGAGCTGGTTGTTAGAAAGAAAAATCACAATGTACTCCACTCTCCAATTAACAATATTCCTCAATGTAACAGCTTCGTTTTACAAGGAGTAACTCTACAGAGTAACGGGAAATTTAATGAGCATGTAAGAACCAAGCTTGTCAAAGCAAACAAGTGTTTACACGTCCTACGAACACTAAGAAAAGAACACTACTCTCAGGCAGAGATAGATTACCTTTTTATATCTATTGTTTTATCTAATTTTAGCTATGCGTTTTCAGTCTATGGGGCATCGGAGTCCGATCTCACGGTTATACAAAATTTTTAACCCGATGCCATAAACGCCGTTTTATATCATTCCCGGTTTCTATCAAGGATCTTTTAAATAAACAAGACCGAAACATTTTAAAGAAATTAATATCAACGGATTGCCACCCCCTGAAAGATATCATTCCTGTCCAGAAGACTTATGTACACAATCTTAGGACAAAAGGCTGCGCGCTCCCGAAAATTAATACACAGCGTTTTATGAACTCCTTTGTAAATGTTGATTTTTAAGCTCCATTTATTGTAATGACATACTTTTTTAATATATATATATATATGTAGATATTTTTATCATAGTTTTTTATCTTCCGTATTATTGTAACGCAAGATATGTAGTTTTATCTTTTGATGAAATAAAGACTCATTATTATCATTATTATTACTGAACAGCAACATTTTCTTCTGACGCACTAAAATTTTTGCTTGACTGGTAACATACGTCACTGCGCAAGATGACATGAACAACCCTTTGGTATATTTACAGTGTAGGTTGCCTGTGAGATCAAATGATGCCGTACCTGGATTCATACTAGACTGGTTTAAGCAACAGCCAGATTTAAAACTATTATATCCAAAATAAACAATAAATAAAGAGGCCCGAAACTCCAGCCCCAGTCCCCCAGTGCGTTCACTGGTGAAGATACAAGAAAAGTTATTCTCACTTACCTTGATTTTTTTGGAACATGAGATCAAGATAAGCTTCTCTATACTCCTTTTCATCGATATAAACTGTCACCTCCATTTCTTCCCCACTTGCCAGTTGTTTGATTTCTTCGGTTAGAAGGAAATTTTGAAGACGATTCTTCAATGTCTGGTTGTTGTAAATGTCCCATAACTCTTTTAAAGCTGACGGGGTTTTTGCTAGCACTGTAAAGCAGAGAGAGCTTTCACTCAGCTCAACAAGCTTGGTAAAGGCAGGCAAAACAACCTTGTTGAAGACATCACTGTATTCTTCAAAACTGGAGCAACTTCGCAAAGCCAGGCCACTGCCAACCAATATTACACCACCAGCAAGCGTGCGGAAATTACATACCATCCTAACCGCTGTAAAAACAACAGCCAAGAAACAATTGAATTGAGTTTCAATTGAATTCCAAAAATAATGGTCCTGTTTTTTAGATTATATTTGGGCATTGAAACTGTTCACCTATAGTTTGTTACCACGGATGGCAAGGATGGACATGGATTGAAAAGTTGGGCCAATGTTTTCAATTAAGTGAAAATGCTACACGTGCGGAAATCACCAAAAAAAATTATAATGGTTATTGTTCCCTGCTGAAATTTGATTGATAACTTCTTGAGAACTCTACAGGATCATTTTGTGTATGGGTAAAGGCACAATGAAATGACTTCCGCACAGAATTGACCTAAAACAGCATTATCCTCGTGACATAGCTCCTTTAAGAACGACAACAACAACTCTTTATTCTTTGTACAGTGGAACCCCGTTAATACGGTCACTAATGGGCCAAAACTGAAAAATTGGCCGTATTACCGGGGCAGGCTCAAATCTTCTTCGTGACTTAAGGGGCGTAATAACAAATACACCGTACATTGCATTCACTGCACTGTTCTCATTAATAAACAACCGGAATGTAGTTACAGTCGAACCTCTCGGTACGGACACCTCTCTATTTCGGACAGTCTCTCTATAATACGGACTCTCCCTAATACGCACTCTCTCTCACACGGACAACGGACACAAAAATCTCGCCCCCAGAGAAAATTCATATCAACTTAACCTCTTTATCACGGACACTGCGGTTATCAGGTGAATCCCGAATCCCGATCAGGTGAATTTGGACAGGGTGAATCCTGTCTAGTCTGGTTGGTGAGCTATATGTAAGATGATATAAAGCCTAGTCATTGAATACCAAACAACGATCAGACGATTTCCGAAAGGTGTGCAGAGGAACATAACCGACTTTTTGAAGGCTTCAATAACTAAGGATAGCATAAAGATCTTTTCTATTACATTTTGCACTCTGGTTACTGTTTACTGCAATTACAAAATAGCAAAAGACGCTTTTAGAATTGTGCTCCACGTTACATACAGCATTGCGCTGCGATTTAGAGGATCCTCCGAAGTAATTTGACGCACAAATCCTGATCGGGACACCCTCTTAGACCCCGTTTATACGGGTTCCGGGCAAATTTTTCAGTGAATTTTTCTACCTGAGCAACCCATTAACACAGAACCATGCAAATTCTGTTACAGACTGCAATACTGTTTACCTTTCCAAAACTTGCATGAATTGGCGGATCCTGTGTAAACGAAAGGCGAGTCAGTGCAAGTTTTTGTCCGTTCAAAAATTTGGCCGGATCCGTATAAGTATGGAATCTTACATTGAAAAACATACCGAGGCATAGTTCGTGGTCTTTCAAAAATCTGATAATAATGGGCCTTTACGTTCCCGTGGTCATACGGGAGCCATTTTTCAACTACAGAACGACAAAGCTCTAGCGGCAGTTACTATAAGCGAGTTCAAATATAGTAGGTACATTTACATAAACAACCTTGTCTGACCTACCTCCACTTAAGGCTCCTGCAGCACGCTTCAATGAAGAAATGATACCGAATGATTGGGCTGAAATTAGTAGAGTTTATAGCATCAATTGAAATCAACGACAAATGTAAAGCTAGTTCACTTAAACGGGCGCAGTTAAGACGTGGTCGAAAAACCTGATATGATATTACACTTTAGATTTGTACGGCCGGTATAAATGCATCCAGTGCCAAACTCACGACGACCTGGGCCGCACAATATAAAGACTAAATTTGCATAATATTTCCACAGAAATCTTACAATGATATAACAGTGACGGGCATAACGTAGTAAATTAAATTCACCTGTCTTTCAGGTAAAGCTATTTTAGGCCTGTTTCAAACGGCCTGCTACTGCCGTGCTAAGCTGACTCGACTGTAGCTCGACTGCAGCAAGACACTAGCATGACTTGATTTCAGACGACAAGGCTTGCCATGCTACACGGCATTTAATAAGCACGACTTGGTTTCAAACGTCGCGCTACTGCCGTGCTAAAGTCGAATTTAATTAGATCAATTGAGTTCGGCACGGCAATAGCACGACGTTTGAAACGGGCCTTATTGCTGGGTGGAGGAAACAAAAAAAAAGAAAAGAAAAGTCCGGCCATATTCTGCTCTTTCCTGTACCGTTGAACCATTAGAACAAGACGTTCTTGGATAACTTCCGCCTTGAATACTGAACTACTTACTGCGTATAAATCTAACCACTACCTACCTTTCCTTTTATTTTCAAAGTCCTTCACCTTGTTGACCAACTGCTGTTTCTTCGGTAAATTTTCCAACATTCCTCTCAGAATTTGAGTGTTGTCAATTCCTAGACGATTCGTCCTTTCAAGTACGTCAAACAACGCGAGTGCATTGTCAAAACTGTCCCACTTGGTGCCCTTTGGCAAGTCGTCGCTGCACAAGTAGCCCATATCTTTAAGTTCATTCGCATTTATTTTCTTGTTGATGTCAAGCAACAAACGCCTATACTCATGCTTAGACATTTTAGGCAAAGAGCGGTAATCTTAATAGAACAGGGATTCAAATTCTTCAATCCAATATGGCGATCTTGTGTAAAGTTAAGAAAGCATGACAAGAAGGCCGAGCGCGGCTGGGGTAAATCGAGTCGTTTATACGCATTAGTGACCTTTATGTTTATAAAAGTTTTTTTTTTTATTTTATAAATGAGTACTCTAACTATATTTCTAATTTTTAATGGACTTTTAATTTCAATTTGATGAAACGTTTGAAAAAACGTACAGTATTTATAGATTTTACTGTCTTGAAAGAGTTTTTTTTCTCCCATTTTGACGGTTGACAGTTTTGACTGTTTTTTAGCGAAAATTTAGTATTTAGGTTTTAGGCAAATATTAACTTCTGTATCAACAAATATTGGTTGTCTTTACACTAGGCTGTTACGTAAGAATTAAGAGCTGCTAAGTTTTACTTAACCAAAAATTCTTGTGTGAAGGCCTAAGTAAAATCTCAAGTACCTTAACTTCGCATCTCATTAAAGTCAGAAACTTGAAAACGATTCAAGAAAGTTTCAAGCGACTTGAAAACCATCCTTAAAACCGACTTAGCTGACTTGCGATTACTTGCGGTTTCTTGAGCTTTCAGAAAGGCGAAACATGTCAATCAGTCTTCATTATGCGTGGGCAAAAAGCCTTAAGTTAACCTGAAGTAAAAAAGAATAGGTTGTGTGTGAAGCTTTATTTTAAATTTACTTGTCTTGAAATATTTCTTAGCTTATTTAGGCTCTAGTGTAAAGACTACCATTAACTATTCTTGCTTGTAATCAGATTGGGCCTCATAAAGATGCTTGCGTTCCTCTGAAGTCTTTCGACAATCGGGATCGAGTACGGCGTTTTCCGAGTCCCTCTTGGTCAATTCACTTCGTTGACGTGTCTGAGGCGGACCACGTGACCCAAAATACGTACTAAGCAAGGGGTCGATTATGATCCTTTGAGGTCTTCTGTGTGGGCAGGGTGGTGCGATCTTGGAGATTGACGGGATTTGGAGCCCTTTTCGCCCCTCCCACCTCCCCTGGTGGCGGTGACCGCACTATTAATCCTCCTTGCATATGCAGAAGATGTATGTAGTGAGGATGAATTACCGTTGTATTTTCAGTATTAAAACATACAGTACCCTATGTCGACTACCATCAGCATTGTGACTTTTGAGAAACTGAGCCCAACTTGGTTAACTACTACTGCATTTCCCATAAGTCACCTCGCTTACTCCCTAATTTGTTTTCAATTTCCTTTGGGTGGCTGCAATTAGCTAAGAATTTGAGATGAGGGAAACTAAACAAGTAGACTGTTCAAATTTCCCTTTATAAGATCGTAAGCATTACCGGCGACCATCTTGGCGATGAGTAACAAATCTACTCAAGGGAATCTCCTTCCCCCACCGCTACAATGTCGGGCCCTACCCCCTCAGTACATCTGAAACCAAGAAGGGCGCCTATAACAATAAGCGCTCGATCTCGACGAGCTTACAAGAAAATAAGGGAATGTGAACAGACTAATAAACAAGGTGCATTGAGGGCAATGTGAAAGTGGAAGAATGAGCCAAAGAAAGACGGATCAGCCCTGAAAAACCTCATCTGATCAAAGTTCTCAGACTTATTTAACAACCATAAATTATATCTTCATTAGTAATTATTGCTCTTTCTATGCATTACTAAGGTAAATAAATTCAAAGAAAAGCGAAAACGTGTTTCTGACCCGGTGGCTGTTCGAAAGCAGGATACAAAGCTTCAATTGTAATAAAAGAGCACCAAAAATGCCTGGGAACAAAACGTGAAAGATAGGAATTAAGAGTCAAGAGAAAAATGTAATGACATTCTCTCTTGTAGGAATCTTTATAAACTATCGAAGAACACCTGTGCATGAAAACTCCAAAAAAAAAATTTCCGCTTACGTTTTAGACTACGAGTAGTCCCCATTTTTCCTCAGGGATAGTAGAGCGAGCGAAACGCGAGCGCGCGTGCAAATCGTTCCTGGCGAGAAAGGCGAGACGTGGGTCATGGAGAGATTTTTAAGGTGATTCCCCAGTAAAAGAACCTAACATAGATTGTAGATGAAACTTGGTACACTGATGTAACAAGTCAAGAAGATGGTAAAAAGGTAATAAAAAGTGGGAGTCACCGTGCTCGTTTTGACGTCACAATGCTGACAAATACTGCTATTTTGGACCCTTTGAAATGATGCATCTGGTATCGCACAGAATTTGACTTTAATGTATTGTTTATCCACTTACGTACCAGAAAAATGCCTTTTAATGCCCTTGTTTTTACTTTACGCTCCAAGGTAGAATTAAATTGGACACGCGCTATTCGACACGTGATAGCTCAACCCGTACAGTTTAGTAAAACTGCCAAAAAACTGAACATAGATTTGTGCCAATTTTTTTCTCACCGAAAGGAAGCACTGTCCTTATTAAAATCATGAAATAAAAAATGGGGGTCACCGTACTCGTTTTTGCAGTATAGCTGCAGAAAGTGCGCACCAAATGCATTTTCCTTGATTTTTGAGAGAGGACTGGGGCGAGTTTCAAAATAGAATGTATGCGAAAGGGGGAAGAAAGTATTAAAAAATCCGTTTTTACAGAATCTACATCGAGATATCACATTTAGGACACAAAGTGATAAAGAAAGCGTTTAAATGAAAATCAGAGTGAATAAGCACAAATTAAACATCCACTATCGAGGTTCTCCGTGAGGAAGTCGAACTCAGCAACACGCGTACTTCTTACGTTATGCACATTCCCTCCCCACTGAGTCTCACCTCGGCAAGAAACAACCACAAGCAAAAATTGCAATAGCGTTTCTCTTCGGTCAACTTCATTTTAATAATGTTACTTCACATGCTCTTTTGTACGGAGGCCATCTTGTTATGCGCAGTAAGAGATGCGCAGTGCAAAACCAAGGAATCACCTTAAGGGCGCTCTTGTTTCGCTCGCTCTACCAACCCTGAGAAAAAATGGGGACTACTCGTAGTCTACTTACGTTTCGGCGACTTCATGACGCTATTTTTAAGGAACAGAAATAAATGCGAGTTCAAACACAATTGAATATCTCATGAACAGCAATTCGTTAACAATACAGTCAGATTTGTTCTAACCTTACGGTTTTTCATCAGTCAAAAGCAGTTAAGGAGGTCGTCGAGAATGGTGCCCGCCTGGTGTAAAAAATAAGAACTTAAACTAGGGTATCTAAAAGATAGTAATGCTGCGGCACATTCTGTTGATACTGGCATTAGTTAGGCAGTGAGACTAAAAGAATCGAAAATGATGTTGAATGTCCTATTTACATGTTGGAATTAAGTACTAGAATAATTACTATCAGTCTATAGAAAGAACTCGTGGGAACGTTGTTTAGAAAATGATCAAGTGGTTATAACTCTGGTTTTCCCACAGGAAATTGTAGGAAATAATAGAAATTCAGATTGTTTATCCATATATTTAATATACTGTGCACGATATTTTCTCTGGAAACACAATACTTTTCTTGCTGTTTGTTGCACTTTATTAAGTAACAGTTATTTAGCTATATATTTATAGAAAACAACAACAGAAAAAACGGAAAAAAAAAGAAAGGGGGAATATAGAATTCGGCAGGACTCGAACCCTGAACCTTCAGCTCGACGCGACTACACCTAACCACTACACCACGGAGGCTAATTACGTAATCCTTAAGAAAAGTCTTGATTTATTCCTTTTCCATGAAACTTCCGCCGGCAAGATGATCGCCAGCCGCATTAACCGAGCTATTAACAGTGAAAAAACAATGTAAACGCATTTCATTAATGAAAGAACATAATTATGCTTTTCAAAACGCCGATACACGTCCTCGTCTGCAAAGTTGGACACAAAACATATGTTTTGTTGTCTCGATTTCCGCTGTTATTTTGAAGCGAATGGTCAAAATCACATCCATTTTCGCCTCATACAGTTTCTTAAGAATAGCACTGCATGACATTTTCTCACTTTCACATCACCTTCTAGCAAGCTGGAATTTGTATATCCCCCGTGTTGCGGAGTCGAAGAGCAAATGCTCATCTTCTAGTCAGGTTTAACACCTGGACGAGTCAAAGGCTCTTGAATTGAAATCCAATCCCCAAGTTAACGATCGTACTCATTTGAAAGACTCCTGCGTGTCTTAAAATTTGGTAAGACCTCTAACCGTGCTGTAGAAAATTTGCCACAAAGAAAACTCTAAGTCTGAGCAGCGAACGATGCACTCTCTCACTCACCGAACTTCCCCGTGTTTTTATTTGAGTTGTTCGTGGCGCAATGCACTCTGGTTAAATGCAATGCATTGTGGTTAAAAGTGTGGTTAAATGCAATGCATTGTGGTAAAAAGTGATGAATTCGAGAATTCGTCGTCCCTTATATATTTCCTTTAAATCCTGATTATGTTGCTGCTCGCTCCCTTCGGTCGCTCCGCAGCAAATATTGTGAAATGGAAGTGAAGCAAATGCATAATAATAGATTGTGATCACTGAATCTCACATTCAAGTTTTATCACATCTGTTGGGTTAGAGCGTTTCAGTGAGCACACACAATGAATCGAGGTCGAGGCTAGGGTCAACTTTTCCTTTAGCCACTTTAGAATCGAGAAGGGAACTGGAGCCAAAATGTGTCCCGTAATTACTTCGGCGAAGCACGAAGTAAAGGATTCGCAACGCTCAGGAATGTATCAAAGTTACCATTTTTTGACAAGATTGGGCATGCAAAGTCTTTAGGTTTTCGGTTTTATTCGGCTATTTGACGAAGTGAGAGCCGAATTAGTTGGAGATATCTCGAGATCACTTCGATTTCTTTGATTTATTCTTTAACTTTTTCGAGGAAGAAAGAATTATTATTTTGGCTTCCCCGGGATTTGAACCGACTCACCTGTGTGACCCGTCAGGTCAGAGGAGACTCTAAGTTGAGGGATATGAAATATAGTTATGAAATTATGCACTAGTTTCGGGACAAGATTGGGCGTGCAAGTTCG